TGGTCCCCTCTTTGGAACAGATGAAGTATGTGAAGCTGGCTGTGGCTGTCACTCCTGTCAAGGTGTCTGAGTAGTTAAGCTCCTGGGAGTTATGTGGACCCTAGCAGCAAGTTCAAACAGCTACTATGGGCCTCTAGTGCTGCTTCTGTATTTCCTACAGGAAGAAGGGGGCATCCTGGAGGCATGGCCCAGCCCTCCACCCCCCAGCAGGGTAGCAATGTAGGTGCTGTGGGAGCACCTCAGGCCCAAGCTTTATTCAGATTCAGAGGTTTGGGTGGCCTGGCTGTGAACCTGATATCACTGACTAGCCAGGCCGCCTCCCAAAAGCTCACCACCCTCCACCCCCACCCCCCCGTCATCCTGGCTTCTTGGCTGTTTTTATTTAAGCCTCTGCCCTGTGCAGTTTCTAAGGCCGGTCCAGGCTCATGACCATGGCTGAAAGTATATTGCAAAGGAGATGGTAGGAATTGCTAGCCATGGAGGGGCAGGGGCTCCAGGGGCAGTGGGCTTGGCCTTGAGTTGATGAATAGGTTTCTTTTATCCAGAGGGCAACAAAATCTCTGCAGGAAAAGAAAAAGACTAAGGTAGGTTCCAGGGTTAGAGGCTTCCTGTCTTCCCCTTTGACATGATGCAAGATGCTCTAGAGCTGGCAAGCCCTGGGGTGGGGGGTTGCAAAGGGTACAAATCCAAGACCCTAGTATCTAGAGAGGTCATGGAGGTGACAGTCTATGGGGTACCTTTGTTGGAAGCTGCAACAGTGCTTAGATGTTGAAGGGCTATGTACCACTCACACACAGTAACCATGTTGCCTTCTGACTTCAGCCTTCCTCCTATTGGATGCTGGTTCATACCCGATACACACAGGACTTTCTAGAGCTCAGTGTGTTCAGCCTAACCTTATCCCTGCCCCTGCCCCCATAGCCACAGGATATCTGGCAGCCTCCCTGGCCCATGAACTCTCCGGAGCTACTCCCAGAGGTGGTTTGGGGTCATCAGGCATCTGTACCCTGGCAGCACTGCCTGGGAGCACCGTGCTGGTGTTGGCAACATCCCTGACTGAGGCCGGAGCCAGTATGAGTCGATGACCTGCAGTATGTAACAGAGAAGGGCAGGGTGACCAGGGGCTCCTGTTCAGGAAATCCGGTTTCAGTTTTGCAGAACAAACGGGGAATGGAGCAGGAAGCTCTTACAGAGCCCTGGCTCTCCCGGAGTGACCCAGTCAGCTTTATGAGGGTGGAACCCAAGGATGCTAGGACCAGCATAGAGCCCTGTCTTGAAAGCAGAGTCTCAGGCTAAGCAATACCTTCAAGCACACGAGACATTCGCTGATCCCTGGAAGCCCAGAAAGCCAGGTATACCTATTGATGCTTATGACTAATGGAAGGCAGGGTAGGATACTGCGGGAGCAGGGGGCGGGGGTTAGCCTGATTTCCTACCTTATAACAAACACAACCCTGGGTCCTAGACCTGCGGCTAGGCTGGGTACCTGCTTCCAAGCAGTCTTCTGTTTCGAGACTGAGTTCTCTCTTCTTCAGGCCTCCAGGCCGAAATACCCCCACCCCTTGGCACGAGGCAGGAAAGATAACATCAAGACCAGAGCATCTGAGCAACGTTGACTTTGTGTTACCATCCAGGACCCAGTTAGAACCCTAGCTCCACATGTATGGGAGTCACTCTGAGGGACCAGACTGGTTGGGAAAGGTCAGGCTGCTACCCACGAAGGCTCAGAAGCACTACAGAGGGACCTGGTGGCATTCCTATCCCTTTGTTCTTGGCCAGCAGTTCTTTCAAGTAAGGGGAGGGGAGAAGAGGTGGGGTCAGCCGGACTATGTGACCCCCACCTGGCTGGGAATCGGGGACCTTCCCGGCTTCTTGTAGAACTCCTAAATGAATGTGTGTAGCTTGCCCACCATTTTACCCGTCTGATGGTCCGCGGGGGGAGGGGATCAGCGCCGAGACCGCCTGCAGCACAATCTGCCCCAGTGCTGGAGACAGCTGAGACAGCCAGCAGGAGGGCGGGGGTCTCCTGGCCTCCCGCCAACCGGTTGGCTTGGCAGTGAGCTTTGTGTGGAGGCAGATGTTGCAGCGGCCAGGCGTTGGTAAGCTTCTCCCTTCCCTCCCTCTCTCGGGTCTCTGCAGCTTAGTCCCTGCCTCGCCACGGTCACTGGGCGCCTTCTCCAACACAACTCACCAGACAGCAACGGGGACGTGTGTGCAAAGGCGGGGGGCGGGGGCGAGTAGACTGCGGCACTCGGAGATTTGGGGCAAAGAGGGCGGGAAGCGCGCGCGGTGCACACACTCCCTCCCACCCCCTCCAAGCGCGCGGGCACGCGCGCATAGCCGCAATGCGGGGTCTTTTCTCACAGCGGCTAGTGACGCGGGTCCCGTGGGGTTACAGTGCACGCTGACTGCCGGAGAACAGCGGGCATTCATAGGAAGAGTGCGAAACCCTTCCTAGCAAAGAAAGGGGATGGTGGGGATGCGCAAAATCGCCAGGATTGCAAGCTGTTAGCTATACTGTCCCTGCTGACTGGCATCGCCCTTCTCCGACTCTGGGGGGCGTTCTTTGCCCCTCCCCTGCTGCAGAGCCGAGGACTATTTGGGGACGAGAATTTCTGCCTTCACTGATGTTAAACAATGAACTTGTTTACCAAATTCAAGGCCAGGTGGGGGCGCCTGGTCCGCAGCACTGAGCAGAGCACCAGCGCGCAGATGCGCGATGCGCGTGCACGCAGCAGCTGCGGCTCCGCCTTTGTCCTCGCAGCAATCTTTGTCCCCGCTGCAGTCTTTGTCCCAGTGCTCGGTCTTTGTCTGCTCTGCAGATTTTGTGTGCGCAGCCCCGCCCTACAGAAAGCGATTTTCTTCTAGGTAGGGTTCGGTGGCACAGTCACTTTATGTCCCCAAACCTCCACAAAGACAAGACCAGCAGGCAGGGTTGCAGAAGGGGGGAGGCGCAGATACCGCAGTTGAGCGCCTTCTGGACTTACCACGCCCTCTCAAGACCTACGGAGTTTCTCCAGACCAGTTTCCCCACTGGGCGCTGGGCACAAAGCCATGTCTGCTGAGACCCCATTGCACAGGGCAGCCGTGGTAGCGTGCAATACCTAGTTGTGTCATGACTGCATTCATGAACCCCAGTAGGTGCAGAGAGGACTAAGGAAAACCGAGTGTTAACCCGCCTTAGTGCTCCAAAGCTTTCCAAAGCTTCAGGAAAGGCCCCTTGAAAGCTAAGCAGGCAGGCTCCAGCCAGGCTTAGAGGGATGAAAGGGGTATGGGAAAGCCTCCATCTTTGCCTTTCCAGTCTCTGATACTGCCACTTTTGCCCTTTCTTCCCGAGGTCCAGACGCAGAATAAGTGTCCCAGGTCATTTGCACCCCAGGACCCCAAGATGGTCAGAGCAATAGAGCCTGCAAAAGGTTCCTGCTCCAGGCTGGAGGTAGGCAAACCTTGAGGTTTGTCTCTCAGGAAACTGTCTGGGTAGGGCTTCTGGGAAGCGTCTCCTCTGCCTGCCTGCCTGCCTGCCTGCCTGCCTGCCTGCCTGCCAGGGCTGTGCCAAGATCTAAGGCTAACCCATCTGTATTTGTGTTCACAAAGAGAGGCAGCCCAGGCTACTCACCACTCCAACCCTGGGGGTGACACAGCAGGCACTCATCTGGTCACAGACATTAGGGTACCTCTAGGTGGCCTCTGTTTCCGGAAGAAACAGTGAGTGGAACCTGTGAGTGTCTTGTCTCCCCCCCACCCCCACCCCATCAGCCATTTGATTATCCTGAAGGGTGGGCTGAGGAGATTCACAGGCTCCCTGCCCCCACTCCTAACCCCGCTGTCTCCTTGAACCTTCCTAAGCTGCTTCTCTGACAGCAGAGAGAACTAGAGTGAGACATGGATGCCACTCTCCTGGGCTGGTCACCTGGACAAGTCTGATGACTTCACCCTAGGGAGGGAGGGGCCTTGTCATCTCAGGCAAGGAGGAAGCTGGAGCTGGGAGCTCAGGCTTCACTATCCAGGCCCCTGCTCCCCATGCTAACCTCACAGGCCCCTGCTCCCCGTGCTAACCTCAAGCAGGCTAGAGATCTCCTTCAGCTCACAGGGCAGAGGAGATTATTTTCTGACACATAGATGCACATACCCCTCTCCCAGAACCCTGGCTTTGGCCTTTCATCTGGAAGACCCAGACCCTGTTTAGAGACATAGAAGAAAAAGGCAAGGCCTGGCCTCCTAGTTCCGTCTAGTCTGACCTGCCCTCTGTGCAAGCAGATGGGAGAAATGCAGCTGCCTCTGAGCTGTGATATTGCTGTGAACAGGCCTGGCTCTGGTATGTGGTCCCCTCCTGGCTGGCTTATAACTCTAGCCTGTGCCCACCAGAGCTGGGGGATCACACAGACGCAGATATACACTGCATTTGATCACACAGATGCAGATACACTGAATTCGATCACACAGATGCAGATACACTGCATTCGATCACACAGACATAAATACACTGCATTCAAGCCTGAGACTACAGAAATCTAGGGATCTAGAGACCCTGTGTGCAGTCTGGCTGTGGCATGTGCTCCTGAGGGGCATCTGGGACACTTTGTCACAGGACGGCACTCTATGATGAATGGACCCAGGTCCTCCTAGACCAGTCTGTGGCTCCCCACTGTACAGCCCACCTTACCATCATTCATCCTCATGGGGCCTTCTGGGTGACATGGAAGAGAACAGACATGGGTAAGGAGAGACCCAAGACAGTCCAAAGGTGTCATTTCCCCACATGGTGGAGAAAGAGACAAAAGTTAATTTTGTAATCATAGCATAGAATACAATATTCACAAGAATTTGTTTGTTTTTTTAAACATATAGCCTTGGCTGGCTTGAAACTATGTAGATGAGGCTGACCTAAGCCCTTAGAGACCCACCTGCCTCTGCCTTCCAGCCCTAGGATTAAAGGTGTACAACATCATGCCCAGTTTCCAATACTTTTAGAGAAAAGACAGCAATGGTTAATTGTTTTGACTTAGATAACAGCTCTGAATGCTAGTCTGGTTAAAGCCTGGAAGCCCAGGATCATCTTGTTCCTCCTCTAGGGTCACCATAGTTTTACTGACATCAGAACTAGCCAGCGACAGTGGGAGCTTCCCAAGTCTATCTGGAGTGGGCTTTGTTAAGTATTTGGGTCTCTGAATGCTTTGTGTAGAGCAGTAACCTTGGGGACACAGGTGGCAGCAGGATTTGTTTGAGTCAGTCTTACACAAGGGTCTTGGAGCTGAGTGGTAAGAGACGTCTCCCTCTGAAGTCCAGCCAGTGTCTTGTTCCATGTCTCCTCACTCCTTCCTGTTCAGTGTGGGGTCCACATCACAGATTGTGGGGTGAAGCATAATCTTAATTGATTTTATCAATAAAAATCCTGGAGTCAAATATTATGGTGAAAGCTGAAAGATCAGAAAAGTAGAGCAGTCAGCCACCAAGGACTTCTCACCTTTACTAAATCTCAGACTGAATGGAGGCTCCTGCCTCTATGAATCCTCAGACTGAATGGGGGAGATCCTGTCTCCACCTGCTTAATATTCCTGCCTCCACCTCCCTAGTGCTGGGATTAGAGGTGTGAGCCATCACCACCGACTCTGTTTCTCTTTTAGACTGGTTCAATTTCGTGTAGCCCAGGGTGGCCTTGAACTCCTGATCTTCCTGCTTCTTCCTCCCAAGGGCTGGGATTAAGGGTGTGTGACACCTCTGCCTGGTCTCTATGGCTAATTAGTAGCTAGCTCCACCCACTGATCTCCAGGCAAGCTTTATTTGTCAGAACACAAACAAAATAGCATACAACAGTGGTGAACTAGTTTCCTCTGACCAAAAGCAACTTGGCTGGATGGGGGGTACATTTATTTGGTTTATACTTTCAAGTCAATATCCATTATTCTGGGTAGTATGAGCAGGAACTCAAGTAGGAGCTAAAAACAGACTTCTCGCTAGCTTATGTTTAGTTCACTTTCTTTCCTACCCAGGACCACCTGCCCAAGAGATGGTGATGCCCACAGTGGGCTGGGCACTCCTACATCAATTATCAGTCAAGACAGCCCTATACAGACATGCCCACAGGCCAGTCTGACCCGAGTAATCCCTTAATTGAATGTCCCCTTTCAGGTGACTCTAGACTGTATCAAGTTGGAGTTAAAGTTAACGCGGACTGAGATGCAGGTCCGCCTGCTTGGGCCCTGTGTTTTGTTGTGTGCTTTCTTCCTTCTGAGGGTGAGAATCAAGTCAGTATCCAGATGGGAGAGCATCTGGGCTATTGAGGATCCTAGTCAGGCCATCTGTTGCCCCTGTACCTGGGACCAAGGGAAAGTAGCATCCTGCTGTTTACATCTGGGACCACACTAAGTGGATTTGTACAGAGCTCCTTTCTGTAACTAGAACACATTTCCTTGAAGCTACTACACCTTGCCTTCTTGCAATAGTAACAAATTGTATCCTGCCAAAAAGGGTCATTCAGGAAAAAGGCCAGCCCCTGCAGAGGCCAAAGAAACAACCATTACTACCTCAGCCCAGCTACTTGGGGGGAAAAGCAAAGAATGTATCATGGAGGAAGCCCAAGAACCTGGCAGATGCCGGCTAAGTTGTAGACCTGGCTCTCAGTCACTGGGGGATGAGCTGGCTGCCTCCCAAGCCTGTGGAAGAAAGGCACTGACCCTCCAAGGGGCACCATCAGTAACTGTTCTTTGACTACTGATTTCTTCTCCTATGGCTACTATATAGTTACCATAAATGGCAGAAATGGACATCTGAGGTCCAGGGCAGCAGGGCCAGGCTCCCCTCAGAGGATGTAAGGAAGAGTTCTCTGTCATCTCTCCCAGTGGCAGATGACTGCTAACATCCTTTGTCACCCAATATAATGTGGCGATATAACCCGGTCCCTGCCTCCACTGTCACGTGGTCATCTTCCTTCAACGTGTCTCTGTTTTCTTGTAAGGAGCCATCTGGTCATTGTGAACTCATCTTGACTGATCATCTCTGTAAGATAGATTTGGGAAAACATGCTGAGCTTCAGACAGACAACCTGGTGCACCATCTCCTGAGGACTTGTGTCCAGGGGCACCCAGAAGAACCCTGTGGTGGCTTGCTATATTCTCGCTAGTCTCTGGCTTGGCAGAGTATTCAGTTGGCAGAGCTGTTTGGGGAGTCCCAGGAGGCAACAAGGAGGCCTTGTTGGAAAAGGCGTTACCAGGGGTGGACTTGGAGGTTTTAAAAGCCTGTGCCATTCCCAGTGTGCTCGCTGCTTCTTTGCGTTCGAGATGTGAGCTCTCAGCTGTTCTGTCACCGTGTCTGCTTACTGCCACACTTCCCTGCCATGATGGTGATGGGCTCTTATTACTCTGGACCATGAACCCAAATAAACCCTCCCACGAGTGGCCTCGGTCACGGTGCTTGAGCACAGCAATGGAAAAGCAATGAATATAAACACCCAGCGTGGTCCTTGCTCTCTTCAGCTGTGCTGAAGGCGAAGTGACCTGCAGAGAACACAGAAGCCTCAGGAGGGTTTGTTCTCCATGAGGCGGACTGGATGTGGTAAGGTATGCAGGAGGGCGCAGCCCCACACCTAGAAGCCAGCCCTTCCAGCTGTCGGTAAAGGGCACATGGCTCCACACAGTGGAGAGCATTTATTTCGCGGACCCTGGTGTAGTCTAGAAGAAAGGAAGCCACGCTGGCACAAGGACGCTTTCCCATTTGTGGCAGAAAAGGCGCTGGCATTCCATTTCTGACCCCTCCCCCATCCACATAGCATGCACATGTGGACCAGGATAGCCCTTGCCAAAGTTACAGGTCCTTGTTGACCTCGTGACCCTTAGGTCCTTTGACCCCTGCTAATTGGTCCTTCCTCTTTTGAAGCCCTTTTGCCCTAATTTCTGGACCTTCACACTCTCTTTCAGTTCCTTCCAACTTCCCTGCATGTCACTACCTCCTCTTTCTGGAAAAGTCTATAAGTGCCTATATAGTTGGCTTCCTTCTTTCTTTATCCCCTTTCCCTGAGGACTCAATCTCAGCTCTAGCTCACTGTGTCATCTACCAGTGGCTTCTTCTCATTGCTGTGACCAAAGAAGGATTTTGGTGGTGATGCTGGTGCTGGTGGTACTGGTGGTATTGACAGTAGTGGTACTGGTGCTGGTGCTGATGGTGCTGGTGGTATTGGTGCTGATGGTGTTGGTGGTATTGACGGTGGTGGCACTGGTGCTGGTGGTTCTGGTGGTAGTGACGGTGGTGGTGCCGGTGCTGGTGCTGGTGGGATTGGTAGTGGTGGTGCTGGTGGTATTGATGGCAGTGGTGGTGGTAGTGACTTCAGAAGATTTAATGCCATCATTGTGGAAAAGTCATGCACGGAGGTGAAAGATGAACATGTTGTCCAATCAGGAAGCAAAGTGCCACGGCCAGGACTGGGGTCAGACATAGCATTCAAGGACTTCCCTCAGCAACCTGCTTCTAGCCAGGCATATGTCTCTAAGGGTTCAGAACCACCTCCAAACAGCACCACCGACTAGACACCCAGTATTCAAACACAAGACCACAGTGCGTTATGGCCACAGCTCAGTGTGTCTTCCCGGGCCTAGAACTGTCCGACTGCTCAAAGGACACAGCCCCATTCAGACTTATCTTGGGCAACAGCGTGTTCCCAATGGGACTCATAACGGTTTTCATGTTGCTTCCTACTTCCCGCCCTTCTTCTTGGCTTTTCTGATGGACTCCGGGAGGATCACTCCCTCCCCCATAAGCCAGCTCCAGCCTTGTACCTTTCTCTCCTTCCTTTCTTTCATGTTTCCTGCTTCTCCCCGTCCCCAGCACTGCTGTCATGTAGCCCGAAATAGCTGTGCACGTCCTAGCCCGTCTCCTGGCCTCCTTCCCCTGGGGCCATTCATTCTTCCATCATCCAGTAAATATGTGCTAAGCCTCTGCCGGGTGCCAGGCACTGGTCTAGGCTCTGGGGAGTCTTAATTATCCCTGGGGTTTATAGTCCAGTGAGGAGAAAGACAAAAAAACAAGTTGCAAATGAAAACACCAGCTGGCAATGAGTGCTGAGCAGAAACGTTGGGCTGTCTGATCTGGGAGAAGGTTCCGGGCAGGTGTTTTAGGTTGAGGGGGTGAATGAGGTAAGAGAGGCCCCTATGTGAGGTGAGATGTGCCGGGGAGGGGGGATAGAATTCTGTTCACAGGAAGAACATACTAGGCAGAAAGATTCTTAGGAGGATGGGAACTAGCTAGGCGTTCTAGAATACCTGGGAAAGAATAAAGGAAGGGAAGGAGAGGGGAAGGGAGAGAAAGGGAGGGAAAGGGAAGGGAGGGGGAATGCAGGGAGAATCAGCCCTAGAGGCCAGCCGTGCCAGGCCACAAGAGGTCCATCATCCAATGTAGGGAGTGAAAACTCCATCCAGGGTTGGTAGGGAGCTGCCGCAGAGCTCAGGAGTGTGCTAAGTAGATGAGGTGGCATGCCCAGGTGTTTAAGTGGGTGACATGACATGTTCAGGTGTGTTTCCAGGCCATCCCAGCTACTGTCTGGAAAATGCGCTGTGTCTCCATCCGCAGGCTCCCTTCGCAGGGAGGGGCCCGAGCATCAGTTTAGGCCATGGATGACAGCAACTCTGACAAAGCTTGTGACAATCTCAGAGATACTGGCTTTGAGTGGCATTTGGAGGTAAAATCAGCGGTCCTGCTGGTGATTTGGACTAAAAGGATTTGGAGGAAAAGAACTAAGTGGGTTGATGCCTAGATTTGGGCCTTTAACACCTAGGAGGGCAGAGGCTTGTTTCCTGGGGTGAAGAAGACTGAAGAAGCGCATTTGGGGGCTGGAGGAAATGCAGAATTTGGTTTTGGTGTAACTGGTTAGGAAGGGACACCAAGGTCATAGTTGGCTTTGAAGGTCTGGAAACGATGGAGAATGAAATACAGAACAGAAGTGAGAGTTTGGAATCATGAGTTTATGGTTGGTGTGGTGATTATGTGTGATTTCCCCATTAAAGGTATAGAAATAGAAGCCTCTGTGGTGGTAACCGCGGTCTGGACCCCATAGTGATAGTGGAGGCGCACACCTTTAATCCCAGCACTGTGGAGGCAGAGGCAGGTAGATCTGAGCTCCAGGCCAGCCTGGTCTACAGACCAAGTTCCAGCACAACCAGGGCTACAGGGAAGCCCTACGAAAACAAAACAAAGCACAGGCCAGTCTAACACTGACCCATAAGCAGAAGAGGAGCCGGCAAAGACACTGTGTAGCCATCAAGCTGGGTGGAAGAAGACTTAGAGGATGGGATCCCAAGGAGGCAGAGAAGAAAGTCTTGGTCATCCACATCCAGTGCCTCGTGGAAGAGGGGAAGATCATCCAGCCATCGAGATCCATGTCTTAGAAGAAGCTGGAAGAGTCAGGGGAAGTCCAAGCAGGTTGGGGCAGGGCAGCAGAGGGCATGAGCCACTCAGACTTACCTAGTGGGAAGCTCCTGTGCCTCCCACTGTCCTCACCCTCTCCAGCGGTCTGTGGGCACAAGGAGGAGAGCCTCGTAGTCCTGTGTCCACCCAGAGTCCCAGAGGGACCCCTCCTCATTCTTCCCATAGGGAATTGAACCCAAATAAGGAACAACTAATGATTCATCCCCACCCAAATAGCATGCTGATGTCAGAGCAGGAGAGACAGCTCCAGTCTCCTGGCCACTGGGTGCTGCTGGAATGTAGGGTCCTGCAGGTAGGAAGACTGCCAAGCAAGTCTGCAGCGTGGCCAGTCCGCTCTACCACTTGCTGGCTTCTGGGGGCTTTCCTAAGTCAGGTTCTGGGACAGCATGGGGATGCTGGTGTGTAGATCCAGCAGCAGAGAGACCTGGCCCTGTGACTGGGAATCTGAAGAACAGCAGCCACAAGGAAACCAGGAGGCAGGAGGCAGGGGGCAGGTTGGCACCTCTAGAGACTTTGAGAGCAAAGAGGAAGGGGACCTCTCCCAGGCAATGCAGTTCCAGGCAAGACAGAGGGGACAGCGCTCAGCCTCTGACTGGAGTCAAGGCCAACACCTCTCCTTTTCAACGCACCAACACACACGCACATGTCTGGTCCTGTCTGCATAGTCTAGTGACCTTGTCTCCTCTGTGACACCAGGACATTCCGAACAGTCTGATAGACTTCAAGCCAGCTTCCTACACTGCAGTCATGGCCCACTGCGAAGTAACCAATGACATGAGCTGTTTTGAAAAAATGTTTTAGATGTTTTCCAGCACAGAGTGAAAAGCATCAATATACAAAAACCAGTCTATGGCCCACTTAAAGGAAGCATGGGCCCCAGAAGAGTATTGACCCCAAACCAAACCATGGCTGACCCAAACGGAAGCCTCCTAATAGTTCTTTCTGCACGATGCCCTCCCTTCCACTTGCTTCCATCTTTCCATCCCATGACCAAACATCCCTAGGCCCCTGGAGACATGCGGGCAGAAGAGAAGGAAGCTAACCAGAAGCCTGGAGCTTCTAGCAACATAGGTTAAAGTTTCTTTACCAAGGTCAAGGGTCACCAGAGGTGACCCAGCTGAATGAGCTGATGCTGTCTGCCAGCATTCACACCAGCGAGAGAGATGGAACCTGACTCCATCTCTCCATCAGGTGTCATGTGCCAAGGGACCAGCTCTGTCATCAGCAGATGGGGAAATCCCCAGTGGAGGCCTCTGAGGGACTTTTCTCCTGCTGAAACCTGAGATGTGTACAGAGGACTCTGCCCCGCCCTCTCCCCCAACATGGTGGTACTTTGGGGCGTCAGTCTTGAACCAGTTCACTGGCACCAAGCTGCAGTGCCTGGTCTGGAGACACATGGAAGAAGCTATCAGTCTTCTGAGTCACTGTCCTGGTTGCTGCCTGCCCAGCCAGGGGTAACAGCCACATTCAAATGTTCACCATGCCCCGGGGCTGCATCCACAGAGTGTTCCTGTGGATTCACTTGTCCTGACTTTCCAGCAACCTCCCAGGTCTTTGTCCATAGGAAGGTACTCAGATAGCAGAGTGAGCAGATGGTACAGGGAGCAATGACACAGTGGCCCGCCTCCTGACCTCTGCACCATGAGCATCTATTTTCCCGGTCTCTCCCAATCCCTGTGGTGCTGCCCAACCATTGGCTCCTGCACTTGGAGCATGCTCTGTCCCAAGTTCCCGTTCACTGCTCCGTGAAGAAAGCTTTCTTCTTCTGCCTTCCCACAATGCTCTGTAAATCCCTTCATTAGCAATTTTCCCCTGAAATCATTCACTGGAGTAGAGTATATCCCCATAGGTGCCTGGTGCTGTTCCAATGCTGGGAATCGGAACAGGTGAAGATGGGTTGATGAGGTTCCTGTACTTTCTGTCAAGTGGAGGGAAATCCAGACTTAACCAAAAACTCAGGATGCTTAGAACAGGGGCAGGATTCCTCAGTGAGGTCCAGGAGGGATTTGTTGAAGAAATGACCTTTGAAGAGATCAAGAAGAAGAGAAGACGTTGACTCCATGAAGACAGAAGACAAAAACATTCCATACATAGGAGCTCTGTGATGGGAGGGAGGTATTGGTGAAAGCCATGAGATGGGAGGGAGGTGGTGTGTCAGGCTGGAGCTGACTGGGACACTCAGCTTAAAGAAGCATTGAACAGATCGAAGAAGCCCTGAAGCCCACGAGGTAGACCAGTTGCTTGCTCTGATGCAAGATGGTGGTTCTGAGAAGGCACCGAGTCAGGAAACAGTGAGGGAGGTGACATCAGTAGGACCTATGGGTGGATTGCCTGTGGGCTTTATTCAGTTTGGGGACTAGTCATGAGTTTGGTGGAGTTTTATTGAGGGGTCTTTGAGCTATTTGTGAGAAAAGTCAATGGACAAAGTGGACGTAGACATCAGAACCCAGGGAAGTTGACAAGCAGAGACAGGTCAAGTGTCTGCATGGAGTGCTACTAGATGGAAGGAGTCAGTGGATGTGAATAAAATTGACAGAGGCAAGCATATGGCTGAGTCCCAAGCACAGGGATTTAATTAGCATTGCAGCAACATCTGCCATAGAGAATCTTGATCATTGGTTCTTCGAGGGATGGATGTGGGTGAATTGATGGATGAATGGGTGAGCAGGTGATTATGATGGATGGGGAGGGAGGTGGTTGGGTGGATGGATGGGTTGATGAGATGGATGGATGGGTGGGGAGGTAGGCGGGTGGATGGATAGGTGAGTGGGTAGATAGATTAGTGGCTAGATTAATGAGTGGATAGATGAATGCACCAATGGATAGATAGAAGGATGGCCTAGTGCTGTCTTCACAGCCTTCATCCTCACTGCTTACTTTGGCTTCCTGCTATAGCAGTCTCATGTCAGAACCAGGCTGGAGAAGGGTGTCCATTAGTAACTTTTCCAGTCTCTGTCTCACCGGACAAGCTTCAGACAAGTGGCCCAAGACAGGAATATAGGCATTTGATGGCACTTGGTTGAATGTGCCATCAGAGCTTTCAAGAGGACAGAGCATTCTCCCCTCAGCTCCCTGGAGGTGGGGAAGTAACAGACAAGCAGTTCCCTTTCTTCAGATTCAGAGCCAGCCTCCCTCTGGCCATCAGAGCGGAAGGAAGCTTTCTAGGCAAGTCCTTGTCAAGTCACCGCATGGTGCATTGCCATCCAGGAGGCCTTCACTGACCCTCTGTGGCACTAACTACAAGCTCAGAGGATCCTAAGAGCCCTTGATAAATTACTAAAAGCACTTGAGCCCTCATCAAAGGCTGTTAGCCTCGTGCAGTAGTCTATTACCACAGAAGGATACGATTACAATCAGCCAGAGCCACAGCGCCTAAGTCTAGCCGGGTACCAAACACGGAGCTTCCATTTTCTTCTGAACATGTCGTCATGAGCAACATTGCTTTCCTGGCACTGACGTGTGGCAGTCAGAGAATTGCCAGGGAGATATGATCACCAGAGCCTCAGCCTTCAGAGTTTGTATCGAGGCTCTACCATACAAGCTCCACAATCAGCTGATGCTGTGGTGACACTGAGTCTCACTGTTAGTCTCTTGGCATGCTGTTGCTGAACTAGCCTGTGACCAAAGATGCCCCATACAAACAAACACACTGCATAGAATTCCAAGGACTTAGAGATCATTTCCCAGTCGGCGAAGATAAAGGCTACATACATACCTTCAACTGCATGAAGTGGATCC